CGGCTGCGAGGATGGCCCCGGCCCGCCTGCCCCCCCACTGACCGCGGCTCCGAAGCCGAGCCCCCGATCCCAGCCAGGCGGGCGCGGGGAGCCCCCGCGGCGCGGCAGGAGGCGCGGGGCTGCCGGCCCGCGTGGGTTGCCGAGCGAGCCCCTGCCCGAGAGACTCACACACACACGCACCCCCAGCCTCCCCACAGCCCGACTTGTCCCGGCCCTAAGACCCCGCCGGGCCCCGGGAGAGCGCAGCCTGGTCGCCAGCAGCGACCTACAGGGGTGCCGCGCCACCGGGAACCCCAGGCCGGCGGCGGGCAGCGCTCACCTGCGGGCGCGACGGACCCATGCTGGCGGCGGCGGGGAGAGAACGCGGGAACTGAAGGTTCGCGCCAAAGCGGCTGGGACAGCGGGGGGCGGGGCCCGGCGGCGCCTTTCCCGCGTTGGCGCCCGCGTCCTGGCAGATGCAGCAGACACCCCCGCGGGACCGGGCACCCACCGTGTCCGCTCGCCCACCCACCCCTGCGGAGGAGTTCGGTGTCTCTCCCGCGCCGCTCCCGGAGGGGCTAGTGCGGGGACCCCGTTATTTTATTTTATTTTATTTTATTTTATTTATTTTTCCCCCCCATTGGCGTTGGGGGGTTTGTGGAGCTGCAAGGGCCTGGCCCTGTGGCGCGAAAACCTCCCGGCCGGAACGCCCTGGGGCTCGCGTGCCAGAGGGGAGGGGCGCGCGCCCGCGCGGCGGGGGGGTAGAACAGGATGAGGGGCCAGGGGTAGCCCATGTACTCTCTAACTCTTTTTTTTAATATATATATATATAAATTTTCTATGCTGCCCCTGGGTGTGTGTCCCGCCGTCCTGAAGTAGAACCCCAAAACGTGCCGGTTTTCAGGGACGGGGTGTGTGTGTGTGTGTGTGTGTGTGTGTGTGTACTGGCGGGGGTATTCTCCACGAAGGAGAGGTCTCCCCCCTCCACCCCGGGCTGGGGCAGCCTCCGCGCACCCCCGGGGCACCCCCTGGCACCCCGCGCGGGGTAGTGAAAGTGCAGTTCATTAACAGGGCAGTGAAAGTGCGGTTCAGGAAGAGCCCATCCGCTGCCGGGGCGAGGTGGCGGGTGGCGCCGGTTGCCGCCGCTCCTCCGGGGACCCCGGGGTCGGGCAGGGGGTTCCCCGAAGCGGCTGGCTGCCTTGCTCCGCTTGAAGGCGGGCAGAGGGAAAGAGGTCGTCGGCCATCGCAAGCCGTTGTGTGTGTGTAACGTTTGTAACGTGGCGTTAAATGGAGTCCAGCTGTCAAAGGCAGGGGAGTAACAGCCTTTCCATCCAGGTGCCCCCCCGGCGGCCGGCCCGGGGTGCGGTGGGCAGCGGGGGGAGAGGCCGCCCGCAGCCCCGCGCCCCTGTAAAGCGAACCGCAAATCACCCCTGAGCCCGAAGCCTGTCAATGGGCACAATAGGGTGGGTGCAAGAGCCCTCCCGGAGGTTTTCTCTTCCCTATGGGCGCTATTCTCCCCGCACGTGCTGCGGCCTGCCGTGTAAAACAATCCCCGTTTGTAAATAAGCCCGTAATTACACGCTCACCTGCACGGCCGCCTCCTCGGCGCACACACAAAAGCAGGTGAACTAAAGCTCTGGTTCTCTGGAGGCCGGACCACACTCGATTCCTCTCAGCCCGCCTCAGTGCAGGAGTGCCACCCAGGTGGTCCCCAACCGAGGCATCTCAGCTGGGAATTCGAATCTTGAATTTTGATGCAGTTTTACCTCTTTCAGAAAAAAAAAAAAAAATTACTAGATTACTTACACAGGAGTAAAAGCTGTGAAGGTTGCCTACTTTTCTACTAAAATCCTGATAAACATCTTGAATCATGTTTATCAGGATTTTACTAGAAAAGTAGCCAACCTTCACAGCTTTGAAAAGCATCCTATGAAAAATTATGGAGTACTGATGGGACTAGCTGAATCCATGCTGCAGACTGTAGTTAATTTTCCATTTAATGCTTAATGGAAACAGCATTCAAATAACACATGTAGTCAGTCAAATTCCTTTAAAATTAATAGGCCAGAGCAGGGACTTTGTGGAGAAACCAGACAGGACATTTTAAAGCCATTTTGTGGACTGTATGTTGAGCTTTTTTTTTTTTTTTTTAAAAAGTGAAAAAGAATCAATTTATTGAAAATCATGTATGTCAGCTCATGCATTTTACTGAGGATTGGGGAAAAGGGGCCAGGAAAGGGAGAAGAGAAATGAGACGTATGTGAAGGACAGGGGCTTCCCTTCCTAAGGTAGAGTGCAGGGTACCAGAAGATGAAGGTCTGTCACTCAGGAGAAGGCTGTTGTTGCCTGCACCCCTGCCATTTCCCCTGTTTTCATCTTCATGCTCTTTGTGCCCCTGTTGTACCCCGCAGGGCCCAGATGCCCCCAGCGATGGGCAGAACAAATTTTCTAACTGGCTTTGCTGTGATGGAAAATGTTTCTTAAATGTTTGTGGAGATGTAGGGAGCACCATTGTCCTGCATCCTATAGACAATAGCTGAGGACGTGCAAAGGTGAAAGCAGGTGAGCATTGCATTTTGAGCCACATTTAACTCAAATTAGGCTAACATGAGCAGAATAAAACATCCCTGCCCGTTCGGTCCCCCAGTCCGGATCCTGCATGCTACTAGCCTCTCTGTCTCCCCTGTTGCTTCTCTGCTGGGCAAGCTCACCTCAGCAAAGATTATATGGAGTATTTTGTCAGCTGCTCCCAAGGAAATCATCTCTTAAACTCTCATCTTTCCATGAAATGAGTTGTCAGTACACGGTAGCAGCCCTTGGAAGACCTACTAAGGGAATCGGCTGAAATTACGGAGGGGTGTGCGGTAGATTGAGCGTGCAACACTTTCTGCATCCATCTAGGGGAAGCAATGTTGTTTACAGATTAGGAGCTTCAAGCAGTAGCAAGAACATGGACCTCCAACAACAATAGCACCATTGTCAAAAACAGTAAATGTGACCTTTAGTCCCCTGGGACAATGGACAAGCGTTGTCCTCCATGTCACCCCACAGATGTCGGCTGTTGGCATTGCAACACAGCTTTTCTCTCTGGAGACAGGGCTCCTGCTGCCTTGTCCCTGGCTCTCCTACACACTTCCTATCTTAACTATGGACAGCACACTTTATGCTCTAGTTTCCCTTTTTTTCTTCTTTTTTTTTCTTTTTTTCATTAAATTGGGGCAATACATTTCTACCTGCCTAAAATAGTATGTGGATACATTAATTAATGCTTGTGTGATGCTAGTAATTATTGAGATGGGACTTGCACAGTGACACAGATTTATAGATGCAAGTATTTCAGTGGAAAGGGAGAGTTAGGAGTCTCATGACCACAGAGTACCTGTAGCACAATGCAGTAACACGTATCTTAACTCCATAGAAAAGAATAAGATTGCAACCACTAATGACAGTAATTAAAAATTTCTGTAAGAGCTGTCCAATCACCTCTTCATCTGAGCAAATTATAGTGTGTTATTGAAACTGCTAGTGCAGTAAAATGAAGCTAAAAACATTTTGCATTAAAATAATCAGACATTGATTTATGATGTAAATTGTAAATCGGTAACCTATAACACACACTAATTGTTTTTCTCTCTCTTGAAAGGTGTGTTTCTGTAAAAGATCTGATCAAGCATATGTATTTGTTCACGTCACCCTCCAGTGGCTAACACTACTACGGAAGACACAATAAGGTGTATAATCAGGGAACCTGCTATTGGTAGGAACCCAGAAAGGACGTTTGTTCTTACACAGGAGCAGGAGGATAGCCACTTTGGGACATTTAAGTATAGTTAGATGTCTACATGTTTGCTGGACATTAATTTTTATTAAGTACTTTTTTACTGCTAATGCTTCAACATTGTGCTCTGATAGGTAGATCCAGAATTTGTATAATAAATGTAAATTTTAAATACTTAGCATGTGTAATCAGTTTATAGCCAAGACCAACTGTACCAGCTCCACAAAGCAATTAGTATCTTTTTCCCTTTTTCTTCATGCAAGGAAAAATATTTTTTTCACATTTTAATTTAACAGGTTTGTATCTCGTTTTACTTTGCTGTAAATTCCTTACTAATAAAGGCTGGGTGCAAATGCATCCTGCATGTGGAATTGAAGGCGGTCATGTCTGATCCTATTTGATACCATGTTTCTTTGACACAAACAGGCAATACCATAAAAATGGAAAGAATGAGAGAAGGAAAAACAAAGGTATAAATACAGTCCAGGAGAGAAAAAGTGGAGTTGACAAATGTCCCTAGGAACCTATATTCATCAGCACACTAAGAGAATGAATGAAATGTGGTCAGTTTTGATAGAAATCTTAATGATTATTCCAAGTACACGTCGTAGATCATTGGGAGCCCTAAGCATTGTGATGCACATACGGGAGTGTAATTATAATGCTCATTTGAATGTCCTGTAGCCATTCCACAAAACGCATAGCAAAAAATGTTGATCAAAAGTAGCTGTTGTTGATATGCAATAGCCACTTTTAAAAGCTTAAGATCCCAGCCTTTTCACTCTTGGGCTTTGATTTATATTTCCCTTATTTCCCTTTGAAAACACAAAATAGATTAAGTCACATCATAAAGAAATTGCTTACAAAATGTTCTGCAAATGCATAGCTGTGGGGAACAGGAGGCTATCAGAAAATAATAAAAATTGCTTACTGCACTCTGGGTTTTTTTGCCCTTTTATATAAGGTTTGCCACTGCCTCTTTGTGAATGTTGATTTGCATCGCCTCCACCAGCCTTCAGCGAGATGTGGATGCTGGGAGAGGATGGGAGTGGGGGGACAGGGGATGGCTTAACCTTCTCCCCAGGGACCTCTCTCCTGGCAGCTCCCTCAGGAGGGAAGAAGCTGGGGAGGGGGGGGAGACAGGCAGAAAGCCCCCCGTGGGGCTCACTACTGCCTGCCGGGGGGTCCCCAGGGCACACCGCAAGATTTCAGGCCCGTTTTGTTTTTTTCACAGCATGAGGGAGATGCCCTCTCTCTGCTGCAGGAAGCCCTCGCCTTGCTTGCAAAGGCAAGAAAATAAATGTGCATGCTGAACCCCAGGCATATTAAGCCACTTCATTCCAAATGGCACAGTGTTGGTGTCTGCAGTGCGTTGGTACCTGCAGAACTGCCTCGTGTAGTTTCTAGGAGTCACTGACCCTCGGGGCAGGCGGGCAGCCGGGGTGGTGGGATGCAGCTGGGGGGGGAGTGTAGGTGATGCTGGGGTGGGAGCTGCAGAAAGGGGCCACACACTTTACCCCCAGCTCTCAGCCTCCTCGGGCTGCTGCTGCCTCCCAGCGCTGTTCCTCTGTCCTCCGAGATGTTCATCTCAAATGCCCTGTATTTACACGTACTCAAACGTGATCTTGGCAGACCCTTATTAGTGTTATTGCCGTAATAGACTTCTCCTCCATAACCTCTAACTTTTTGCAACAAACTGGCTTGAACTGCTAAGCTTTGGCACTTCATTAGATAAGAAAATTATTTAAAAACCCTTCTATGGTGGACACATATACAGAAAATAATTCTGTCAGATGTAATTTTCAGAGGTAGCACAGCTATTTGGTTCCATTTTAGTGACGTGAGATGTCAGGAGGTCTCTCAGTTTGGGGTTTTTTCACAATTACAAAAGCAACTGCCCATCTTTCCCAGCCTAAAGTAATAATAATAGTAATAATAAGGTCAAAGTGTATTCTCTAGCACGATCAAAAAAATCAAGTGCTTATAGTGCTTATCTTGGATGCATGGTCCAGTATCCTTGGCAGGAAGTTTATAGAAAGTCTTAACATCCTTGGCTTTTGATCCTCAGCAGCATCAGCTGGACTGGAGAGGAGGATGGTGGTAAGGGGTGCCCTGAATGAGGAGAGAGGGGGGGACACAGAGAGAGTTTGGGCAACTTCTGCTTCTTAAATCAGCCCAGCAAGTTGTCAGATCGTGGTCAGCATATGGGGTTTTGGCATGTGCCCAGGGCAGGTGGTGTTCCTGTCAGACATGGCCAATTGCTAGAAAATAATCAGTGGGAGCAGGTTAGAAAGCACAAAACTGCAAAAGCAATTATTTTCTTTAAAAAATAAACAGTGTCCAAACCTACCCATCCCTGTTTCACACTGATGCCAGTGGCAGGGCCAGGGGGGAGGCACAAACAGATGCTCTTCTCACCCAGCTGAACAGGAACTGGGTTTGCTTTCTCTAGCATTTAACGGAAATAATCAGCCAGCAGCGACAACACCCATGAAGCCCGGCCCCAAAAACCACTGTTCCTGGAGCATGGCAGTGTTTTTTCTACTGGCATGGCATCACCGAGATGCGGGTGGAGATGGGGAGACAGAGGGTCCACTAGTGTCCCTCCTGCTACAGGCAAGTCGCAGCAGCATCAGCACAGAGTGAGCAGGTCCCTTGGTCATCCCACCCCACCTGGTCAGTATGACCAGATCCCCCCAGCACAGACGTACAGCACACTGTGGTGGTGGTTGAACGTGCTGAATCCCTGGCAGCCGGGTTCCCCAGGAGAACGGGGTTAGATGGCCACCCCATCTTCCCTCTCTGACCATTAGTTCTGTTTATCTTCCTGACGAGCACAGCGCAGGCTTAACATTTCAGTATGTGCTTTAAAATCAATATGAGGCCAAAGCAACAACTAGAAATGTTTCAAGAGAGAGATTACAGCACTGCCCA